CCAGGTCGGGCAGATTCGCGCGCGGCTGACGAAAGAACGAGGCGACAAGAACGATCGCGATCGAACGTCTATTTTCCGCGCTGTTGCGCCAAAAACGGCTCGCTGAGCGTAAGAAACGGAGAACAATTTCGGCGCGCGCGCGTGCGATGAGAAGGAATATCCCCGACCGCGTCGCGGCAAGACACACAGAAGACGCATTTGCATAAAGCACGCTCGTTAGACAATGTAATTCCCTCGATCCGCGCTCTCGAGTCGCACGAGAGAAGCGATCAGAGGTGAATCTTCGGGAGAAGAATCGCGGCGGCCGTACGTACGCGCAAGCGTGCGAACGGGAACTCGTATGAAAAATGACCTTCAGCATCAGGGAGAGGGGTGCTCGGTTATCCATATTTCCATGAAGAGAGCAATGAGAGAAAAGCAGATAATCACCTTGTACTTAGCTAAAAAATCGGCAAGGTTTTCGCCGCAGGTTTTTTTACAATCGACAAAAAATTTTTGCGTTTAATCAAAAGCGGCTCGTGTGAAATTACGTTCCACGTGAACAATCACACATTTAGAACTCTATAGTCAAGACAAACCCAATTTATATTCTCGTTCTCGCGCGCGACGGAATCGATCAATGGTGGGTCCTCTGAAAATAGATTGACGTTTCGGAGCAGAAATATGCACGCAGTTATATCTACATAAATCAACAGTCTCGTGGAGAGTGCCCTGCAGTGAGCGTCCGGTAGAGAGAGAGAGAGAGAGAGAGAGGGAGAGAGAGCGAGAGAGAGAGAGAGAGAGAGAGAGAGAGAAGAAGATACTACCGAAATTATGACGTTTCATTAGAAACGGTCTCGCGTCTCTGATTGAACTCCACTTGAACAATCATATATTTCATGCGCCATAATTAAGACAAATCCAATTTATATTCACGTTCGCTTGCTCCAAGCATACACACCGGCTCAGGCATACCGACTACGGAAAGTAATTCCCCTATTAATTGCCGGATTCAAATTAGTTTTCATAAAGGAGCTAATTATAGACATCGTTAAGCTGATTTAGTGCGGATAAAATTCTTCCCGGTTTGTTCCGACTTGGCGCCGATATGAAAATTCTTCTTTAGAAATGCCGGCACAGCTCCGTTGTTCCTAGTCCGCTTCAGCGTCCAACGGGTCCGACCGACCGGACGACTAATTACCGAGAGAGCGAGAGAGCGAGAGAGAAAGAGTGAGAAGGGGGCGAGGGGGGAGGGAGAAAAAGAGAGAGGCGAGGAGAAGGAGAGAAGAATCTCGCACGTAGCCAAATTCGCGGACACGCAAGCCGTGTTCTTGCCTCCTTGCGTGACTCCTTGCGTGACTTCTTCGCTCGTTGCCATTTCTATTCGCGGACGTGAGCGCACAAAAAAGAGTCTGGTCACTGTTGTGACGACGACTTGTTTTTCCGCCGTACGAGACCGCGTATCTCGCCTCTCGGCCGCGTCGCAAACTTGTTTAACAAGCATCGGCTCCGAAGCGCCGCAGATGGATATCCCGCGATACGGAATGAGGAAAAACGGCGAAGAGACCGGAAGCAGTTTCACCGCGATCGCAATAGCTTCGCGGCTGTTCCTCACCTCTCCGCGAGATGATTCGAATGAACGGACGGATACGCTGCTCCCCCCGGCGCGCGCTGCGGTTAAATAAACATTTATTCCTCCTTGTATCGTAAATATAAAATTAATTCACGGATTTACGGGGCCGCGCAGAGCAAGAGGCGGCGACGGCGGGGTCTTGAATTCGCTCGCGGAAGTGATCTCGTTGAATATGCATCGACGCTACACCCCCCGTACACCGTGTATATATCGTACATCTTCCGACGTTATCATTCGTTTCGTAACTTACGAGAAATCCGATGGCGGTGGCGCGGGCGGTGAATGAAAACGTTAGGTGTTGGTAGGAGTGCAAGAGAGATCGCACGAGAATTACACGAGAAAAAATAGAAATATATACGCGTCCTTTTATGCGCCAGCTGAAACGCGCGCATAAGTACGCACGTACGCAAGTACACGCATATTTGCCATTACGGTAGAATTATTTTTCCTCGTCCGATAACACGGCCGTTATCAAGTACCATTACCGTGCGGTCGAAGAGAGGTTACCGGTTCGTTACACCGTTCCAATTTCGGGGCCATGCAAATAATCTACCAACGTGTAAATCCCGGTATTTATGCCAGAAATGCAGATTGACTTCCACAGGCGCACTCTGGTTCCTCTTTCCCTCACACACACGCGCACACACACACAGTCTCCCTCTCCCTCTCCCTCTCTCTCTCTCTCTCTCTCTCTCTCTCTCTCTCTCTTACCCCGTCTCTTATGAAATTACCATGGCTTTTCCCGTCGCAGGAATATGTTGCCCTTTAAATAACACGAGTGAAAATCTCCTCGTCGGAAATTCGTCTTTCCTCCTCCCTCTCACTCCTTCGCTTTCCCCTAACAACTTTAGCTTTTAGTCTCATATCGTACCTCGAACTCACATCACATCAAGACGTTTATCGTTAATTCCGACGATAGATGATAGATAATTTTGGGTCCCGAGGGACTTTTGTGCGGCAACGACCGAACGGTCTGCCGTGAAATTAATAATTACGCGCGAACGCATTAGCGCGTTCGTATGAAGGAGGGCATTGGTCGCGGGTGAAAGAAATCGTCGTATTTAGCCGCAACACGCTAAGCCCGATTCGCACGCGCCGGTAATTATGCGCGATCGACAAAACAGGGAGAGTAAATCGTATTACGCAAGTGGCAGTTGCCGTAACGCGATTTGATGCACATGCGGAAATGCTAATTGAATTTCTTGATTAGAATATCCCGTCTATAATCCGCAATATCTGCGGGAAAGTAGGATTCGATTAACGCGATTTCGATGTAAGCGGGACGGGGGGCCCGGCGTACGGGATGTACGCGGCCGGGTTCTATTTCGATGACGCCGGCACGTGCAACTCACGGTGTATCTCACGGTGCTCACGCCGCCGAGTTAGCACGTTTAATTAATCGCGCATTTGGAAAAGGCAGAACCGAAGTGCAAACGCAGAGGGCCGCCGCCGCCGCCGCGCGTCATTGCCGCGCCGGCGTATCTAGTCGCGAAACAATAAATTCTCCCCGCGGAGACCGCGGCGAACGAATGTTGTTGAAATTACCCCGTTTTATTATTGCAACTACACGCGGACACATAAATTATGTCAGTTGCGTGACCGTCTCAAACGAACGTCATCGATAATACGGTGAAATTCGCAAAGCTCGACTGACCACGCAACCGCGCGGTGGGGATATCTGCCGCTGCGCCGCGTGGGAACGACTGTTTTCGCGTATTTCAAATTCGCGAGAACTTGACTTAACAACTCGTTTGCCCGCCGCCCATTACGATAAAATCTTTTACTTAAAACGGGTCAAAGTATATTTTAGCGCGTACTCCCGCCGCGCCGTTTATGACGTTCCGACTGAAGATACGGCCGTGTACAACTGAACGAACTCGAGATCTTAACTAAAGACGCGCGAGTTTCCCTCTTTCCCTCAACACAAAAAAAGTAAAATACCGCTCTGGTGTGAGCGGAGTGTATGAAACACCCAGAGATAAAATATTAAATTCGATCGATTGGACCGTGTTGCTAACACACGCTTATTTCCTCTTCTACGGGAATACCGAAAAAGCCCCTTTCGCCACGGCAAGACGGGAAACAGAGGAAAAGTGAATAAAAAAAAAAACATATGCGCGCGTGCGCAATGAAATTCTAAAAGAAGATCCTAAAGCGTGATTCCGAAGTCGATCGGATTCCCCATTCGCTTCAACGCGGCAACGTAGCGTGACCGGCACGCGCAAAAATACGCGCATACACGATACACGATTTCACACCTCTTTTGCAAACCATTGCCAAGGCCTTTTAAACCGGCGGCTTTCCAACGCCTCCCCCTCCCACTTCTACCCCGTAGATGGGGGGCGCTTTTCACAACGCGGGATAACATCGCGTGATAACACGCGCCGCCGAAGCGCGCGCATCCGCCGATAGCTAATTAACATAACGTTTCTTTCTCACAAGTAAACCTCGGGGAACGTCAGACGCCGATTTGTTTCCAATTTTTTATAGTTGTTTCTTGTGTCAAAATATGAAGAAATCTGTTTCATCATTTTTAGCTCAAGTTAATTTTTTCAATCTTTTCGAAATTTTTCAAGTTTTGCACAAGCACACTATTTTATACATATTCAAAACAATATTTCTTAAAGATATATATATCTGATTTGTTGAAACTTGCACACACACGTCGCCGATTATGAATCAGAACCATTTTGTAAAATTCAAAATGGCGGATCTAATATGGCCGACGTCATTGTCGAAAAAGTGTTCAGTTTTACGCTACATTCGACGTTGGGTAATCTTTTGGCTCACTATCCAGCAAACAAGCTCATTTTAACATCTGGTAAAAAATGAACAAGAAATGAACAAAAAAAGAATGAACAAAGAACTTGAGAAATTTCGGAAACATTGAAAAGATTAATTTAAGCTGAAAATGACAGCAGATTTCTTTATATTTTGACGTTAAAAATAACTATAAAAAACCGGAAACAAATCGGCGTCTGACGTTCTCCGACGTTTACTCGTCAGTCGCGCGTCTTAACCGCCTAACCTCGCGCTTGTCAACCGCCGCGCGCCGCCGGGCGAGGAGCGAAATTCTCACTCGCGCGGCGTTAATCCGTCGGCGATGAGACTGCGCGATTTATTTATCGGCCCGATGACGGACCTAATCGCGGCCGAGTTAATTGCGGTCGAGCGCGCGAGTGTGAAGCGGATGCCTTGCTGCCGCGCGCAGCAAAAGCGGCGAATGCAATTAACAAACACCCGCGCGGAACCGGTTTCTTCTATCAGCGACGGCGCGGCGCGGGCGCGGCATTCGCCGTCGCGCGGATGCATTTTTCCGCGGAGTAACTGGTTCCTCGCGCGCGGAATAACGATAGGACTTTAATGACTTTTGTCGCTTCGGAATTAGGGGGATCAGCCGGTGCCGTGGTGGCGTCCAGACTGAGCGACATACCCGAATGGAAAGTTTTGTTGCTAGAAGCCGGCCCGGACGAGCCACCGGGTGCCGAGGTTCCCAGTATGGTGGCAATGTTTCTGGGTAAGTTTCAATTGGACCTCTCGCATACACAGTCTCGCGCGCGCCCGGTTCCGCTATCTACACAGCGCGTCCGAAACTCGCCGCGCGATAACGATCATTTGGAATTTCGTGCGTATAATCGTTTTACGGGCGCCAGTCCCGAAGATTCACAAGATGCACAATCGGATTTTGTGGGCCACCGCCTCGCGCACCGATTCACGTATTGCGAACGCGTGCCGAAGGGACGCGTCGCGCGAGAACCGCCTTTCATCCCTTTTGAGACGGGATTCTCCCGTGCTGAATATCAAACGCTCTATCGGCGGCGATTTCTTGACTTTCAATATTGCCCGGGAACGGGAGACGCGAAATAAAATTTCTCTGAACGCTCGTTTGCGCGCGAGCTCCGAAGCTTAATTCCTCAAACGACTCACATCTTCAATCGCTTGTATAATTCAAAAGTTAACGGGGGGAGGGAAATTAATTGGCGAATTAATCAAGAAGTCCGTAAACGAAAGATGAAAGGCGACTCGTAGCGGATCCCGCGGTAGCCGAGATAACGAATCGACGGGGAAGAATCGAAGAGTTTCCGTTCGCCCCTGTTCTTTTTTCCGCTTTTTTTTCCCCTTTTTGTTTCACCTTTTTTTAGTACAACGCTTCGATCGCGTGACGCGCGAAGGGAACCGCGGCAACGCTCTCGTCTCAAATCTATATTATTGCGCGAGTTGTTGTGATCAGTCGGGCTTTACGCATGTTGAACGATCTGCCAATTTTACCGATAGGAACTGACATTGACTGGCAGTATCAAACCATGAACGAGATGAACGCTTGTCTGTCGACCAACGGATCCTGCAGCTGGCCGCGCGGCAAAAACCTAGGCGGTACGTCGGTCCACAACGGCATGATGTACATGCGGGGTCACGCCAAAGATTTCGACAATTGGGCGGCCATGGGCAACAGCGGATGGAGTTGGCACGACGTGAGATCTCTCGTACACTCGTTCTCGCGAATTACCTCGCGGTCTGCCTTCGATTCAGGCGTCGTAAGGCCCGTCGGACGCGATTCCAAACCTTGAAACTTTTCTCTCAACGGTTTGCAACGACCTCAGTTTAGATGAAAGGAATTTTATTTCTTTTTTCATCGGAAAAAGCGAGCATCCTTTATCTGTGCGTCCTTTGGAAAATTTTTCAGGAAGGACAGAACCAAAATTCGCTTTCTCCGATAAAGTAACGTTTGTTCCTCAATACCGTAAATATCACGTAGTAACAAGGGAGTAACAAGGGGTGAGGAGCATCGAGAAGCGACGTGAACAGCGAGATTTTTTCAGATTATCACGGGCCAAAAGAGACTCGGGTAAAAGTCCCGATAAATGTTTCGCGTCGCCGCACAATCACGAGGAAATAATTTTATTCTCGACCCCTCGACAGAGGCAAAGGGATAACGACTCGATCTCGCGTCGTGCAGGTCCTGCCCTACTTCAAGTGCTCGGAAAACAACACGGAGACGCGTCGGGTGGGTCGCAAATATCACTCGACCGGCGGTCTGTTAAACGTCGAACGTTTTCCCTGGAAGCCCGCGTTCGCCGACGACATGCTCGCGGCGGCGGTCGAGAGAGGATACCCGATTAGCGAGGACCTCAATGGTGACCAATTTACGGGATTCACCGTTGCCCAGACCACAAGCAAGGACGGCGTCCGAATGAGTAGCGCCTCTGCGTTCCTCCGCCCGCACCGCCACCGACGCAATCTACAAATCGCCCTGAACGCCACCGCCACGAAGATCATCATCGAGAATCAGAGGGCCGTCGGAGTGCAGTATTATCAAGTCAGTATACGAGCCCGGCCGGAGAGAGAGAGAGAGAGAGAGAGAGAGAGAGAGAGAGGGAGGGGGAGAGAGAGATGGCACGCGGAACATCCTACTACGTTTCTTATTGTTCGCGATTCTCTACTGCTCTTCTTATTGCTCGCGATTTGTGGGTTCAGCTAATTGAATCGCCGCGAGGATGATAATGCCGGTAACGCGAAAACACACAACACACAAGTCAGTGTTCCTCCGAGGTACGATGTATTAATTGCATAATTGCAGGAATTATAAGACGGACTGGTCCTCGTTCGCGTAGCGTGCGAGAATTCAACGTTTTCGTATTGTTACGAAAATGAGGGCCCGTAAAACGCTTCTTGCGAAACTAACGCTCCTTCGAGGGCAGATCTTTTGTTCCTACCTTTTCTTTGCTAACGGATTACTTAAGAACCTCGTTTAGTGATGTATACGAAATACACGTTTCTCATAAATCTTTTGACAAATTAAGGCTAAGAGCGAAGTAGAGGTCTTCCGTGCCATCTTTCACAGGAGTCAAAGCGTCATCTATCACCACCCGACACAACGGGCCTCTCTCCCCACCTCCCGCCAAGAATTGCGGCGGCGTTTCCTAACGATACGACTTTACGAATTAATTCTTTTCGAATATGTGTCAAATGCACGAGACGGACTGGTGTATTAAAGTACACCGCTGGAGGGAAATTCTACTTGTCACGATATCGCGAGCAGGCAGTTTTTATCAAGTCGAAAGTCGAGGAGAAACTCACCGCTAGTTCTATTTTAATACGTTGAACGTCACGCTTGAAAAACTTGCATCACGCACAAGCGAAAACCCCAGCAAGGATCTTACGTCGTTTTATCGCGTTATCTGTGCAATCAAGATACGACAGCATAGTAGTCGTGAGCGCAGAAATTGCGTGAAACGCGACGCGGAGAGTTCGCGTATCCTTCGCGAACGGGGAGAGGGGGATATATCTTGATTACAAGCGTTATCTCAACAAGTCAAATCCCGCTTTCGCGAAAATAATTCTCGCCCGACCAACCCCTCTCGTCGGGTCACTCGCGAGCTTTGCATTCACAAAGCGACCATCGATTCGTCGTAATTCGATCGATTTTTAAGATCACATCACGTAGACGGCGACTAGATTCGCGGTGGCGTTTCTCCGTGAAAAGTATCGACCGGCACGGTCGGCTCGAGTCTCACGAGGGACTCGGCCCGCTGAAAATCACACACAATACGCTGACACAATATCTCACGCGGTTCTCTCGCGGGCAACTTTGCTTTTTGCCCGGGCGGTTAGCGGCACTTACACGCGAAATCAAGTTCGCGCTCTGGAGCGCGTGGCGGCGAGTTTGGTGATGTGAGTTTCAATGAACGCATCTTCAGGATGGTGAACTTCGAGTTGCCCGCGCCGCAAAGGAGGTAATCGCCTCCGGTGGTGCCGTAAATTCGCCTCAACTGTTGCTACTCTCCGGAATCGGGCCGAAGGAACATCTGCGCGCGGTGAACGTCACGGTAGTCAACGACCTCCCGGGTAAGCAATCCATTCATTGTGCGCGAGTCAGTCATTACGAATACGTCGATATGTCGTCTCGTCGGTGCGATAACCCCGCGAATGCGGCGCTTAACACGATTCCATCGTGACGCGTGAAAGTTCGTCGCTCGACGTCTAATTCTGTCTCTATCTACCTATTCTCTATCTCTCTTTTCTCCTTCTCTCTTTCTTTCTTTATATATCTGTCTACTTCTCTCTGTCTCTGTGTCTTTTCCTTTCTTCCTCTCTCCTTCTCACTCATTGTTACCCTTGGTAACAATTGTCAATTAATCTCGCGTATAAGTGTCGTGTAAAGTAATCGACGAAGTTAATAAAAGCTAACGAAGCTTGAGTCGAAATTTTTCTTCTATATTAATCCTGCAAATTTCGTAAAATTTGAAGGATCAATAAAGAATCTCGAAATGTAATGTATAATATTCTATTCTACCCCAGTCCTATCTTGATGTTGCAAATAATTATTTATGCCGCTATAATTATTTATGCTCTCCGCGTGGAAGCAACACTCCTCTCAGGATAAATTCGTTCAGGAATTATTTAATATTCGATTATTTCAATATTCCATCTGCATTCAATTTTTATTCTTAATTTTAATCAACAATGAAGTAATTTTATTACAGATATGCGGATATATGAAATATATGATACTATAAAGTGCATGAAATAAATAAATAATAACATTAATAAAATATGTGTGTGAAATAAGTAATGTAATATAAGTAAAGTAAAGTAATATAAGTTGCAGATGAGTTTGCTGGAAATAAGCAAATATTAAATGATTCATTAAACAGAAAAATGGAAAAAGAATAATAAGAAGAATAATAAATTTATATTTTCTGATAATTTCTTTTCTTTTCTTTTCTGCCATTGGAAGTTTTGATGTGATTTAGAATTCTTAAAAGAGTTGACGGAGAAAAATCTGTAAAGGACTAAACGGAAACGAAAAGGAAACACTAACAAATGTAAGCAAGATCACGATCACGGTGCAAGGAGCATTATTAGACTTGCGAAATTATATCACACTTTGAGACCGGCGTTCACATAGTTGTAAATTATTTAGAATCTTTGATTGAGAACACGATTAAATAGAATCGTATTCACGAACTCAGTTAATATTTCTTGTAAATAACAATGAAATAAATATTAGTATAGATCGACGATAATAATAGGAAATTTTGAATTTATGAAACTTCTCTATACTTGCTCGTCAAGCGATGACGAATTGAAAACGTCGTCTAAATTTCGACTTAATTCACGATAAGTTTACGGTTCCTTAGCACCGGAAACTTGCATAATACATGATTTCACATACTTTCAAATGTACGACGTATCGCTGCTCCCTCTCCCGGCGCCCTGCGTCCGCCATCTCAGCTTCTCGATTCAACATCCTGCTTGCTGCGTCGTGGCACTGACACTGACACTCGCGAAAATACGATATTCGGTCAAAGCACGCATTGTTAAATGACGTGATCCGACGAGAGTCTAAGCCTTTCGAAAGAGCCGGCGAAATATAATCGTTCAACAAGAACGATATTCCGTATGTCGATGAACGCGGTTCGTGATATGTGCGTCCCGCGCTGGGATCCGAGACGAAATGGAAGATTCGAGAAACAGAGACAACGCGCGAAGATAGCGCTCGACCTGCCTGAAGGACGATCCGCGATGTTTTGAGAGCGCGATTGTTGTTATCGCTCGGCCGGGGCGATGGCGGCGGGCGCGCCGCCGGACGAAGCGGGACAAAAAAGGGCTTTTTTGCTCATTGATTTGATACTCTCGTGCGTCGCGTGTTCGTCCGCGATCGAATGTTTCGTTACATTTTTTCTATGATACATTCCGTCGGCTCTGGAAATATTTGACTGGACTCTCGGCAACATCGCGTCAGTTAATGTGTGTTTTCTTCCGATCGAATCGGATCTGCACGAATGTCGGAGCCAGTGCTTAAAGCTTTGCACCATGTCGGTGCAGCCAAAAACAAGATGCGTCGATAAACCGACACGGGAATAGCGATACTCGTATATCTGTCGTATATCGTCGGGTATCTGTAGATGCACAGATATACATTCGATATACACACTCCTCCAATGTCGATAAAAGAAAAACAGAAGGTAAAGAAGAAATCACGAAGGAACAGCAAAATTTGCTGTTTTGCTTGTCCCTTGTCCAGATTTGTCCGTTGATCTTTATCGAATTATTTATTATTTGCTTATCACGTACATATCTTATTTGCAATCGAGCAAGTTACACAATGCATTGCTTATTGAAATTAGTATGGGAGATTAAATGGTGTGCGAGTGCAGGTGGAATATTGAGATAATCAAATATTAAATAATTTAAGTGGGCTCTAATCCGTCATGGAGTCACGTGGCATTAAATAATCATCTCAGCATTTGCAGTATCAGGGTAGAACAATAGCCTGCATAGGCTTCCTCGAGTTCAACGAAATTGTCCAGGTTAATGTGGAGCGAAAATTTGGACTTGGGAAGTTGGCAGAAGTTGGCTAACAGATCGATTTTCGTTAATTGACTAACGATTGAATTATCCAAAAGACACGGTAGATGAATGTAGTCCGAGACGCATACATTTCTCACCTTGCTCCCCGCAGGCTTTCCATCGATCGTGCGATCGATTTTCTAAACGTGAATTAACGATACCTTACTCGTAATTTAATCAGACGCGATCAACATAACGTCAATACCGACGAGACCGTCGCGGCGTTTGACGCAGTCACAATTGAATCATTTCTCCATGGCGCGGAAAAGATATTTCGATCTCGCAACATTACTTGTTCTCTTATGCGTCGCGCGCCAGAGAAGATTCTGATGAAAAGCGACAAGGTTTACACGATTACTCGCGCGCGCGCGCGCGCGACGCAAGACGTTGGTAATCGGCGAGACGCGGCGCCGGCGCGGCGTTTCCCGACCGGGATCGGAGGATCAGGCGACGAGGAGGAGAGATCGATAATCGAACGTCCTACCTACTTCGTTCCAGGTGTCGGGGAGAACCTGCATAATCACGTGTCGTACACTTTATCGTGGACCATCAATCAGCAGAACGTGTACGATCTGAACTGGGCGGCTGCCACGGAATATATTGCCTTTCAGAAAGGACCGATGTCGTCGACGGGTATGGCGCAATTGACCGGAATACTGCCGTCGGTTTACACGACTCCGGACCATCCGGATATTCAGCTGTTCTTCGGCGGCTATCAGGCGGCCTGCGCCACCAGCGGCGAGGTGGACGCCACCATGAACGGGGATGGTCGCAGCATCAGCATATCGCCGACGAATATACAACCGCGCAGCAAGGGTAAGCGGCGTAATTAGCCGGAATCGTCCGCTCTTTCCCTCCCTCCCTTCCTCCGTAGCCGGAGAAATGCTAATTAGGTGGTTAATTGCGATGAATTTATTATCGATTACGGCCGCCGGAATCCAAAATTCCATATATAATTTAACGCGAGAATAATAATACCCCCCCCCCCACTTTCCCCGCCGTCCCTCACTGTGGAGTTATTGCGAGGAAATTTCAACAAATTGATTAATCAATGTCCCTCCAAATTCGACACCGACGATCGCGCGTTCCGAACTCGATGAATTTCGATGCACTTAACACGGTCGCATTTCTCCGCCGCTCAGTACTCCCCTCTGCCTCCCCCCTTCCCCCTAGTGCACCGTCTCTCGATTCCTTGCCCGATCGTCCGACTTGTCCGCAGGTAACCTCCGTCTGGCTAGCAACAATCCCCTGGAGAAGCCGATCATATGGGGCAATTACTTGAGCGACCCCATGGACGGGGCGATCCTCGTGGAGGGTATCGAGGTCGCGTTGTCTCTCGCCAATACCAGTGCCATGGCCAAGTACAACATGACTCTGAGCAACAGGCCGTTGCCCGCGTGCTCCCGATTTCCGTTCCTCAGCAAGGATTACTGGAGCTGCGCGGTGCGCCAGGACACCGGCCCGGAAAATCATCAGGCGGGTTCCTGCAAGATGGGGCCGCCGAGCGACCCCATGGCCGTGGTCGACCATAAATTGAGAGTGTACGGCGTGAGGAATCTCCGCGTGGCCGACGCGTCCATCATGCCGCAGGTGAGCGTCGTCTTCGCGGACGATCGCGGAAACACCGCCGGGACGATGCGTCTTCCGTCTCGATTACGCGAATCGCGATTTTCCGATCGAACGAGCGAACGAACCTACGGGCGACGAGCTTCAGTGGGCAATTATTGGAAGATCATGAGAGAGAGAGAGAGAGAGAGAGGGAGGGGGGAGGGGGGAGGGGACTGAAAATCTGAAATTGTTGTTTTCTTCTTCCGCCGGGAATTCTATTCTGAGATATTAACGCGCTATTATTCGTTCGCATAACGCGCGTAACGCGTTCATTGTCGCAGTCGCCGATTGGGATTTCCTATTGTGTAACGATGAATTAACAATGTTTCACGCGACGATACTGATCCGACTGAATCCATTCTCTCGTCTACAACTGTTGTTTGCTTCCCTTCCCCTACAATTGTATCTCGGTGTACGTACGCTTGTGTGAGCCGAATGTCGAATGGTCGATATTTCACACGAAGCCAAGTCCGTAAGAAGCCGTTCGAGTGTTTTTCTCGGAATTTTGCGCGGTACGTTGGTAACAAAAGAGAGAGAGAGAGAGAGAGAGAGAGAGAGAGAGAGAGAGAGAGAGAGAGAGAGAGAGAGAGAGAGAGAGAGAGAAGAGGGGAGAGAAAGGAACAGAAAATGAACGCGGACGCGTACGATTGTTCTTTTCAAGGTAACGTCGAGCAACACGGCGGCACCGACCATGATGATCGGCGAAAAGGTGGCCGCGGACATCAAGTCCGACTGGGGTGTCGGGGCGACACAATGGTACGGGAAAGCACCTAGCGCCTTATGGAAAAGCGACGAGTGGAAGCATCATTAGTCATCAGCAATTTACCATGTTTCCTAGTTCCCGGCCGACGATCGACAGTTCGCTGGACCTGCTGCTTTGGGGGATCAAGTACATCGATTGGGAACAGGCTATATGGTAGCCCGAGGTGTTCGCGATCGATCTCACATGATCCGTCGTCTTTTCTCCTCCCCCGCCCCTCGATCGTATCGCGAGGTGCCTAAGAAAGTCGGTGTGAACGCGACCGAAGGCGAAGGACCCTCCGGAAGAGACACGCAGGGTGCAATTTCCTTTCTCCACGGCGTCGCCATCTCCCTCGATCGTGCGGGGGCGTCGCATCGGATCCTACTAATTACACGCTGCAGCGTGCAATTGTTTTCACTGACTCGTAGTGAGAGCGGGAGAGGGAGAGTGAGAGATAGAGGTAGATGAAGAGGGGAAAGAGAGAAAGAGAGTCACGCGATCGAACTGGAATATCGTCGTCGTCGTCGTCGTACTGCTATGCTTCACTTTTCAATTAGTTAGTAATTTCCCGAGATTTCCGGGTGAATTTCTCGGCGCGTGACGCGTGGCTTTTCACGAGATCCGAGATCGGCCGATCAGTGATCGTTTGACCGCGCGGACGTGCATCTCTCCGTTATGTTAATTTACGAGGATTGCGTTACTGCGTGCACCGTCGCTGATTCTCGACGAGCCTACGATTGTGTACTCGAACGTGTCCCGATTTGCCGTCGTTCGATATCACGTATGTGTTAAAGTACGCGTCGTGTTTAGACTTAGGAAGAGCCTGCCAACTACACGTGTACCACGTAGCGCCGGCGATCTCCGCCGGCGCCGAGAGAGAGAGAGAGAGAGAGAGAGAGAGTTTCTCTGGTACTTCCTTAGTAGCGCTTAATGTGTATTATTCGCGTGGGAACGTCCTGTCGAATGCGATGACCAAAGACAAATTCCCGGTACCTGGTTAACGATCGACCGAGCACGTCGACGAAAATGCGCGCGCGCGACAGTCGATCGTTCCGACGGAGGAATATATAGGAAACCAAGTGGATTATAAATATAGATAGCTCTCGGCCCCGTTTGCTTGTTCGCGAGGCGCGCGAATATAAATCAAAATACTGTAAATAAACGAGATTGCATAATGACAGAGACTAAATTTAGAACGTCGTTCACACACACACACACACACACACACACACATGTACTCGCTCGTTGACAACCACTCCTCCGTAAAGTCAAGTTACGAACTGCGCGCTAACAGATAAGCGTGTGAGTCAAGACACCATCATTATTGTAACGAACATAAAACAAGTGTCGCGTAAAACGATGGCCGCGAGGAGGATAAAGCGGAGTCGGCGGTTCCCTAGGCGCCGAATCCGAATCCGCGGTCGAACTTTTGTTATAATTCCCGCAGGAGGAGCCTGACAAAGTGCACGATCCGCAACGATTTATCCGTGTTGCCTCATAATTGTGGAATAATTAGAGCCGCGGCAAGAAGGCACGCATTCGTTTATACTCCTCGACCCTCGGAGTCGGATATTGCATTCGTTCCGTTTAATTAACTCGCGCGAAATAATTCGATAAAAGCGACGATTATATATAATCGATAGGCGAGTAATAAGCTTCGCCACCTGCTGCGCAAATTTCCCTTTCGACCGGAATAGGGTTAATGAAACGAAAGAAAAGGAACAAAAAGAAAGAAAAAATAATTAAGGGGAACGAGGAAAAGGAAAAAGCGCGGTTCGTGACGCGGTCTGTCTTATTTGCGCCATTTCTCTGACAAGCCATTCATCAATTTGCCGCGAAGATACGGCGCGTCGGTGATTTACAAGTGCGACAAGCGCGAGCTGTGCAACAAACGCCGCTGCTATCGGTTAGTTACCACTTGAACACTTAATCACTGCTGGACATTTCGGGGAACCTACGTACGCATATTATTATGATGCGAGTATATAACAAAGCGACGACGTAGGGAACGTCGTAAATCTTGGTAGGCTTGAGCCGTACGGCAGAAACGGATAGTTTTCCTCCGAGGGTTTCCCAACGTGCAGTCCAGGACTCGCGACCGCAGGAAAAATGGTACGTCCGTGTGCACGAAGGATGCGCATCTCGCACGGATCACGAAGGGGATTCCACGGTCAACGTGAGAAAATCGGCTCAGCGCGATTTTTCCGTTTCGCTTTCACGTTGCACAGGAGGCACAGGAGGCGATGCCGCGGCAGGGGGGGGGGGAGGGGGGCACGTCAATTATTCTCATCGTTCTTTCGCGAGACAAGCGCTTGCCGCGCGATACTCGTTCCGTTAGCGCGCGAATAATACGGGCCACGCGAACAATAGCGACAGCGAGATGTTCATAATGTAACGGAGCATCGTTGTGCGCCGTTACATGCGCGATATCGCTCACACACACACACACACACACGCGCGCGCGCGCGCAAGCGAAGCTGCGTGGCAAAATTTACAATATAATATTTGCAGCCGCGTACGGACCGTCTAGTACATCGGTGCGTTGTTGCAGAACTTATCGTATTACGAGATGTCGGCCGCGTGTCCGAACCCGTACGTAGGTGGACTCTCGATGGCCGATGTCTGCGTCGCGTCGCCCGTGACTTATCTCCTCACCGCGTTCAACACGATGGCTGCTGTCCATCCGGTCGTCAACGAGCCGTGCAACCATGTCAAGCCTATTTCGAGACCGAGCGGCACTTACGACTTCATCGTCGTCGGAGGTAAGACCGAGGCGAGAGTGAATCCGATGGTATACGATTACAACAACGAGGTACTACGCCTTGTATGGTCCCATCTTGTATGCTTCGACAAATCAAGCCTCGGTGTCGCTTATCTCAGTGTCTATCGGATCCGGTTTCACTCGGACTTTCTTCAGTCAGACAGCTGTTCTCCAGCTGTTCGTAAGGATTGATTTTTCGCGACATTTGCACTCTTTGTTACTCTTCCGCTCTTTTTTATCTTATTCTGGTTCGAGGAATCGATCTTTTGATTTAATCGACAACACTATATACAGCACGCCGAGGATTGAACTCGACAAGGGACAAGTTTCGGCATGTTACACTCAATAAACACGAAATATTAACAAGGGGGAAATTAATGTCTCACGATCTTGTCGACTTTTAGCTGGAGCAGCCGGGCCGGTCGTGGCCGCTCGACTGAGCGAGGTCGACAAGTGGTCGGTGCTGATCGTGGAAGCTGGACCGGACGAGGCACCCGGCATGCAGATACCGAGCAATCTTCAGCTCTACCTCAGTAATAATACTCTCGCTCCTCGCGACTCTCGCGACATTCGCGACATGCTTCCTAATTTCCGGTCTATACTCGCGTGTTGCAGACACGGACATGGATTGGAACTACAAGACCAAAAACGAGAAGTACGCCTGCCTGGAAGACGGCGGCAGGTGTAGCTGGCCGAGGGGCAAGAATCTCGGCGGGTGCACCGCTCATCACGGTATGGCTTACCATCGCGGCCACAAGGAGGATTACACCAGATGGGTGAAAATGGGGGCCGAGGGATGGTCGTGGGAAGAAGTACGATATTTCATGCTTGACTTACGGCCGACTGTCGCGTCTACTCCCCGCGCTGCGTCTTCACGGCGAAGGGGTCTCTAATATTATCTCTCCGGCTCCGCAGGTATTACCGCACTTCATAAAGTCGGAAAACAACAAGGACATCGACAAGTTCGTCAACAAACGGTATCATGGCTATGGCGGTCCGATGACGGTCGAAAGGTATGCGATTATCGCGATAATTGTTGCTCGTCTTGTCCATTGTCATTCTCGCTGGATCCTTCCTGCGAACGTTCAGCTCGCAACGCGACGAAAAGCTTCGGATTCGCGCTCCTGTTCGCAAGTGTTCGATTCGTGGTGGTTATTCAACGTCGGAGCGTATCTCGTCGACGAGATTAGTGCGAAACTGATGTTCGCTAGACAAAATCTATAGGTGCAGGGCGAGCGAGACCTTCAACGCAATCCCCGCGGTCTCCTCGCCGCTTTATTAATAGGGCTAAATGCGCGCGTTCAACTCTCGCTGATTACTTTCGTTAACAGATTCCCCTGGCAGCCGCAATTCGCCGGGGACGTCCTCAAGGCGGCGGAACAGCTAGACTTTGGCATCACCAACGACATGGTGGGCGAGAAAATCACGGGCTTCACCATAGCTCAGACAATCAGCAAAGGCGGCGTCAGGCTCAGCTCGTCCCGAGCGTTCTTGTGGCCGAACCGGGACCGTAAAAATCTACAGGTACTTGTGAACGCGACCGCGACGAAGATCCACACGAAGATGGTCGGGAAGCAAGTCAAGGCCAGTGGGATCACGGTCGTTATGGTGAGTCGATTGCGTTTCCTGCTGTATTCGCGGATCGGCGATTACGTGTCTCTGCACGAACGAACACATATCCACTCATCGACGAAAACTTTTGAGCGGCAATTAAGACCCTATTCGCAGAAAAACGGACAATCGTACAGGGTGAACGCGAGGAAGGAAGTGATTCTCACGGCCGGCGCCATCAATTCGCCACACCTTCTGCTACTATCGGGCATCGGGCCCAAGAGACACTTGGACACGATGGGCATCAACACGGTCGTCGATCTACCGGGCGTCGGCGAGAACCTTCACAATCACGCGTCCTTCGGCCTGGACTTTGTTCTCGATGAGCCGAACGCGGACGAACTGAGTCTGGATAACGTCAAGACGTATTTCCACGATCAGACCGGCCCGCTTGCGTCCACGGGTCTGGCACAGCTGACCGCGATTCTCGCGTCTTCCTACAGCAGCAATGACGATCCGGACATTCAGATCTTCTCCGCCGGCTATCAAGCTATCTGCGATACCGGCGACAGGATACCGGACTTGCAGACGTACAGCGAAAATCGGGTCGTCAGGTTCACCTCCGTAAATCTTCAGACACGCAGCAGAGGTAAACGCTAGTGAGAGATTGCATAAGCCGCGTGTGCCGCGGACGGTGAAATACCGTGTCGACCTTCCCGATAGAGTAAAAAAAAAAAAAAAAACGGCTGAGCGCCCTCGTCGACGATATTCCAGCGTGGTAAATGTCGTTAGCGAAATTGAAATAACAGTATTTCACGGTATCTGCGAGGTAACGCGGAAGAAAGCTCGCAGCTTCCTCCCTCCTCTTCCCGCCTCCCCCCCTCTCTCTCTCGCTCTCACTCTCTCGCTCTACCTTTCTCCTTGCCTGCGCGTTTTATCCTTACGGCCTTCCATTTTTCATCTTATATATAGTATATCTAACAAAAATTCACAATTACAAGCGCGCTATAGCTGAGCGAGCGAACAAAGAAAAGAAGAATACGCGTAATCTCTTCTACGACGACGAATTCCGTTCATGCGAAAACACGACGTCGCGGAACACGCGTGCACTCTCGATGAATTCCAGGTCGAATCACGTTAGACTCGAAGGATCCCACGCAGCCCCCGAACATCTGGAGTAACGAACTGTCGAAACGACGAGACAGGGATATTATCTACGAGGGTCTTCAGAAGATCCTGAAGCTACCAGAAGCGGAAGCGTTGAAGAAGTACAGCATGAAGCTGATCGATAATACTGCTTCCAAGTGCAAGAAACTTGGCGAACCGACAGAGTCGAATGCGGGGTACTGGGACTGCCAAATTCGCTACAAGACGAGACCGGAAAACCACCAGGCTGGCACGTGCAAAATGGGCGCATACAACGACGTCATGGCCGTGGTCGATCCGCAACTCAGGGTTTACGGCATATCAAATTTGAGAGTGGCCGACGCGGCCGTTATGCCGCAGGTAATTCACGCTTTCCCGACGTTATCGAAATGTTCGGGCGCCTCTTACTTTATTGAGGCTCACCTGCGCGAAAACTCGTCCAACGTCGCGCTAAAGAATCTTCCTGACGAATCTCAAAGTACCTTCTCGAGATCGCTCCCGAAACTCGATAATTAATGCGTCTCATTTGTGCTTTATAGGTCATATCCGGTAATCCCGTCGCTACGATTAATATGATCGGCGAGAGAGCCGCAGATTTCATCAAGAAGGATTACGGTATGTTTTGAACGACCGAACAAGGCGATCGAGCAACATTGGTTCGTCGTCTCCATCGACACCAAGAAAAAAGAATTAGGAATAAGATCAATCTCTGTTCTCCCCTGAAGGGAATTTGTAGAGATGACGATTTTGCGAAATATTGAATAAAGACGTAATCACGTTTTCACACGCACCTCTGTCTCGGCGTCAGTGACTTAATAATCATTCCAACCAACCGGTTCACGCGAGACCTCGGGAGCCTCGGGAATGATCAGTCGTAACGATATTTTACAGAAGAAGAGTTACCGTGACAATTAAGGAAATTCTCCGTATACTCTCCGTGGATAAATATCCGCTGAAGACAGTCCACGACGAGGCGAGGCGATCTCAAGTATTCTCGTAAAATATCCTGACTGCACGCGTACTTGGCATACAGTTGAACTCACGCTTTTATTCCGCGGCGCTGCTCTAACGATTAGGCGAGACGCTCGTAACAGGAAATTTCAAGTTTTCCCGTTGCAGACTGCCTGTCTGAAAATACGAGGCGTTACTCGAGTTCGGCCGATTCGACCGAGTACCGCGGATTTTGCGAAAACGGAGCGATTAAGGATGATCGTCTAAATTCCCTCTGCGGATATGCGAGCGAAATTAAGATCGCGCGATTCGCTTTCGCGAGCGCCGAGAGAAAATTCGCGATACGGGCTGAAGGGTCCACTTACGATATCTTACGTCTCAATTATTAAAATGGCAAGAGGGATGAAACGAAGGAATGCGCCTTGGAGGAGATCACGATGGCAGAATAGAACGGTACCGGCAGACTCCGCGAGGAGTCACAGAAGCTGGAAGCTTGGAGAGTCGCACTCGACCTCCTTAGACTCGCGTGCTTACACGAGAGAGCGATTTCGCGATCTCTCGCTTGACCTCGGTAGCTATTCATCCGTCTGAACTTTTCGAGATCGAACGCGCCCCGGCCCCGAGAGTGCATTAAACCCGAACGCCCGACCGGGGGGGGGGCGGGGGGGAGAGGAGCGGGAAGTTTCGATCCATTAATAATCGAGCCGCGGGGATATACGGACAATCGATGTGTTCGACTATCGAAAAATGCCGCCTATTAAATCGTGTTAATGCGTTTACCCGACGCTCCGCTCTCCCCTTTCTCGCTCTCGCCAACGGGAATGTTGTTAAACGGAATTTCTGGTAACTTTCCTGCTGAATGTAAATTGTAAATGCGCTCTCATAAATAACGATCCCGTCAAACGATTCGAGACTACGAAACGTTATCAGCAATAATATTTCACAATTTCTTCTACACCTCGTGAGAGAGAGAGAGAGAGAGAGAGAGAGAGAGAGAGAGAGAGAGAGAGAGAGAGAGAAGGAGGACGAAATTTGCAAGTTAAAAGAACGTATTCTTGGTGGTCGTTGTAATGGAATTATCAATCATTCTTCTTTTGCAATTTCAATTGGACTGGAATCATCAAGGAGCGGCCTTGAATTCCGTCACGTTACTAGCTGCGCCGACACTCTCTACGAGAGAATGTCAGACCAGGTCATTCGAGAACGCTTCCGGAAGAACCTTCGTGTCGAACGTACGAGATGCGGTGCAACCGGTTATGCATCAGTTAACCGCTTCATTGTCGGCCTCGTTTCTTACGAAAACTTATATTTCTCTCTATCGCTCCTCCGCCGACTTTAACTGCTCCTTCTCCCTCTCTTTCCCCTCCCCTGTCTCTCTCTCTCTCTCTCTCTCGCCCCTTCTCTTCCCCTCTCTCCCTCTTCCTCTCGAGCCGCTTCGAAACGCGCGAGTTCACGTCGGGTGATTAATGCGCGCAGCGGAGCCCACTCGAAAACTGAATACAATTACATCGGTCGTTAATTCGCGTCCGATCGGCCAAGTTGCGAGAGCTCCGAGAGTTGTTTTCATCGACGCGACCGTGACACGCCGGCGCGCGGCGGAAGGATTAACCGAATCGAGGCGTTGCAGTGCGTCCGAGTGGTCCTCAAATCGCTTTCCTGATTCCATATCCATTCGGATGTCATGCGAATTTATGTAACGCTTGCGCCGAATGGAGCAACGTATGCGCCGGCCGTACGTTCTATCTGCCGTCAATTGCCGCTGTTTGCGCGCCGCGCGAGAGAGCGCGCGCGCGAGAAAAAGATCGAAATGTCATCTCCATTATCCGCGCCGCTGATGAATGCAAACGCGCGTCCGTCGACAAGCGACAATTTCCCGGCCGGCCGGTAATTTCACGCTGCCCGCCGTTATTAATCGTAATCAGAAGCAAAAGTTAGCCCGCGCATAATTAGATTCTAGTTTTTTCGTCGGGGACTCGTCAAACGTCGTTATGGAACGACGGTGGAAATACGCGCGGCCGTTTTGCCGCCGCGTGATTCTCCTTTTTACTTCTTTTTCTTCCGCGCGCGGTGTTTTCTTTTTTCTCTTCTTTGCGCGAGTGCGCGCGGCAGAGATGACACGCGACAGAAATATGCTCGCGAATATTTTTAAATATGAAGAAACAAACGGCCGGTATTATCTCCCTCGTCGATTTTTCTCGACAAAAGTGTCGAAGCGCTAATGGTTTTCGAGGCGACGAAAAACCGTCGGAAATAAATGGTCTCGAGCTGGTCAGAGGCGCGAAGAAGCAACGGAACATTATTCCTCGTTCGTTACGAAGCGGACTTTATCGCCGCGAGGATTCAACGCGCGTGAAACGTGTAACGATGAAAGATTAAATCTCTAGAATCTTCCGAAACACACGCGCGGCTTTCCTCGGCGTTTCCGCCGCAAAGAAGGAATCGAGTTTGGATTTTCGTAAGAGACGCTCTCTCGTATCTCCTCGCTCCTGCGTTCGCTTCCCGACAATTTTGCGACACACCGCCGGTAACCTTCGGCATATTACTCGGCCTTCGGTCCAACACTTTTCCTCGAGACCGCGGTGCTCGCGACTCCTCCGACGGTTTTTGCCGCCGTACGGCACGACGACGGACCAGAGAGAGAGAGAGAGAGAGAGAGAGAGCTAGCTAGCACTTCGCGAAGTTTATTTTCCTCATCCGCCTAATCCTCATTCGACTGCGACGGCCGCGGGAAAGAGTTTTCGGCGGAATACACGGCGAAATGGGAGGACTTGTTTGCCTATTCATGTCTCGACGGATGCTTGAGAGTCACTGACGGCGCAGTGGCATCGTGTAGACACCGTTACATACGCAAGTCGGCAAGTCCGAGCAGATGATGAGATAAACAAATTATAAATAAAACATCGAACACCGAGAGCGAAGAGAGAGAGAGAGAGAGAGAGAGAGAGAGAGAGAGAGAGAGAGAGAGAGAGAGAGAGAGAGAGAGAGAGAGAGAGAGAGAGAGGCATAGGTAGGTAGGTAGGTGGATAGGTAGGTCGGTAGGTAGATGGGTAGATGGGTAGGTACGTAGGCAGCAGCACCCGCGCATGTACTATATACCATCCGCGCCATCCCGTTCTCTTCGTCCTCTTCGCCGTCGTACTCGTTGTCGTTGTGCCAGGAGCGTAACGACTGCTTTGAATTTCATGAGAGTGCGAATGAATTCATGGTGGGATGGCGCGCGGTTGGCCCCGGAGTCTCCGGCGACTTCAAACGCCTCCCTGTGCATGACCTCCCGACGCGAGGAGCGCCGAGCGCGCGCGCGCGCGCTTGACACAAGTCGAAGAAGCGATTCTCATAATGCTAACTGCTGCTTACTTGACGTCGTATAATATCGCAGCCGATCTGACCGAGCGGCTTCGATGCGCTCTGCGGCGAGCTCGAGCTCGGTCGCACGAGTGGATTTCGAATCCGTGGGAAGGACGCGACGTGCTCTCTCAGCACGGTTTAGCGCGAGTTAGCGATTGAGTTACGAATATCGCGCGGACGCTCCCGATGGCCGGGATGAAAAGCTCGAGATGAAACGCGCGCGCGGTGTATTTAGGAGGATCTTTAACAGCAAGCGGAAGCGGAGTGATTCACTGCAGCGGGTTGAGCGGGTTTAGCGAGTAGTGTAATCCATTAAATAGCGAAATATCGGACCGATGAAGCAAGTGCGGTCGCGGCTGTTCCCGAAAATTATGCTCCAATTCCTACGGTGAATCCGATTACGCCGGGTGAGCCTTTCTCGCACCCGGTGTAATGAAATCTCTGTTGCCTCGTTAGGTAATAACGCCGGTCGCTTTGACGCCGGAATTTATAATTCCTCGCGTCGTTAATGTGGCATTAGCGCCAAGTTGTAAAATTATAACGGCGAGATTCGGCCCGGCTAGGTGTGTGTATGCGCGCGCGCGCGCGCGTGTGTGTGTATGTGTGTGTGTGTGTGTGTGTGTGCATGACTATCGACAAACAAATAACTGCATTAACCTCCGGCGCTGAAAACTTCATCCTAATTAGAGCGCGGCGACGCGCGAATATTACCGTCTAATAAAGCGGCCCGTGAACATTACCACCAGAAACGGAAGTTGCGAGAGTGAAGATTATCGACGCGCGCCCGCCGAGTTTAACTATTTTCGCGCGCGCTCGTCCGGAGCGAAAGTTAACATTTCGCGCTTTGTTCGAACGGATGCTCGCGATGCGAGCGCTGCGCCGTCAACGCTCAGCCTCACGTGATTAACTGGAATACGAGGATAAAACGCAACCATGACACAATTATCCTCGATAGTTCCAGTGCTGACGTGTTCGCCTCGCGGTGTGTTTACATACGATCGCAGGGGCCAAGGTATTCGCGCCGTCAGGGGTCGCCGTCGGCGATAAACACGGCGCCGGTGAATCGTTAATATTTGACTTACGCGGATTACCCGACAAATCCCGGCTGGTAGCTCACTGTCAACGACAGCGGGGAAGGAAAAGGGGGGGGGGGACGACAGAGGGAGCCGGCCGATCGCGTCGTGTAAGCCACGTGTAGGCTTAGGGCGCGTAACTCAACGTAACCACCCCGCTAAAATATTTTGCCGGTTGCCTCGTTATTTATCCTGCCAGGGAAAGTTGTTGGTGTCGTCGGCGGAGTCGTCGTAATAAATGTCCCACCTTGAGAGCGCCCGGGAGGACTTGGCGGCTCTCGCGGGGAAAAGGGTGTACGTCGTTACACAAGTTGGCCTGTCGGGCGGACCAGTTTTGCCCTACTTTTTGCGCGGCCGTGCAGCCGCGAGCATGTCGACGACAATGTACAAGGCGTCGTCGTCGGGCGCTGGAAAATGAGAC